GACTGAGGCAGGTGGAGATGATTAGGGAGGGAGGAAGGGAGATCTTAGAGGGTACATGGGTATTCAAAGCTAGGAGAGTCAGGATGTAGGGAGCAGGAGTGGGCTGAGGACAGGGGACCTGGGGTGGGGGCAGGGGGGTCCATACCTTTGTTATGTGCCTCAAGCTGGGACAGGGAGTTCACTGCCACCTTGCACAGAGCACAGTAGAGCAGCCGCTTGGCCTTTTCCTCCTCTTCCTTGCTACCCCCAGGCAGGGAAGCTGAAGCTGGAGTCCCCGCTTCGCCTTTGCTTGCACCCTGACCAGTCTCCGGAACGCTGGGAGGGGATGGGGAGCCAGGCTGTTTCTCTGGGGATCCTGGGGCTGGACCCTGTCCATTCTCCATGGAAACTGTTGTTGGGGGAGAGACATAGGGATCACTCCAGGTGGCTTTTGGAGAAGACTCTTTATGTGGAGGAGACCCACCCCATTTCCTGGAGGGCAAGAGCCCAGGAGTCCCCACCCTGTGACAACATGCATGCTCTCATGCCCTGGGCCAGAGCCAGATGTGGTCCAGCTGCTGCAGGCTGGGTGTGAGACTGTGAGGCCTGGCTCACTCTCCATAAGCTGGGAATGGTGGGAGGTCTAGCTCCACTGGTGTCCCCTTCAGGGTGAAGCTGGTAGGCAGCCTCGCCAGGGGGGAGAGGCCAGCCTCGCCAGGGGGAGAGGCATGGATCAAGGATTCACCCCTCAATGGCCTGCCAGCCAGCCTGGGCTTCCTGCCTGGCCAGCCCCCTTCCCAGAGTCCTGCCCAGTACCCAGGGAGGCACATGCCCAAGAACTCTAGGAAGGCACAGAGGCGGGATGAGCAAGGAGAGGTTGGGAGAGACAGACACAGACATAGTAAAGGGAAACAGAAACAGCAGAACCGGAGAGGATAGAGACAAGGATGCGGGCTGCTCTATAATTCATGACTCGATTAAAGATGCACAGGCCTAGGCCTCAGCACTGGGTTCTGGCCTCTGTACAGGGGAAACTCTAGCGCTCCCATTCTTGCTCCAGTAGCTGATCCAGTTTCCGGGTCACGGGGAGGCTGGCTCCTGAGGAGGCTGGCGGTGGGGGTGGGAAGCTGATGGGAGGGGACCTCCTGACCCCTGCAGGTGTCCGCTTGCTAGTGCACAGTGTGGCGTTTCCCTTTATTTCACTTATTCATTTCTGACATCCTTTATCTCAATCTCGATCCAGACAGCACATCTCAGTCTGGATAGGACTTAATGGCTTACAAAAGCGGGGCAGGTATCCTGATCTCTTTAGAGAGAGTACCATAGGAATTGAGTGAGATAACATGCATAAAGCACCTAGAACAGTGCTACTGAAGAAATGTTGCCTACCACCATCATCCCCACTTTACTGAGATGTTATCAAATTAACCCAAGATGATTAGGCTAAGAAGCAGCCAAAGCACAGTTAAAACTCAGCTCACCTGCCCACCCTATCTGTGCATCCCTGAGGGGTGTGTGTGTGTGTGTGTGTGTGTGTATGCGCGCGCGCCTGGTTCCCAAGCTGGTGGTACAGACGCTTGTTTCTCATTCTGCTTAGTGGGGCAGGAAGGACAGGCAAGGAGAAGGAGGAACTAGGCTGCTGGGTCTCTCTGGAGTTGGCCATGACTGACATCTGATGTGGTAATCCTAGGATGGGGGTGGCTCATATCTTCCAGTCATGATATTCCTTCTTCCCAGTTTCTTGGCTGGGAATATGGTTGAAGATGGCCACTAGCCATGAGGGAGAAAGAATCTCAGAGTTGCCTTCTGTAAACCCGGAAAAGACCTCAAAGATCTTAACGTTTCACTCCCCTATTTCCCAGGAAAGAAAACTCTGGCCCAGAGAGGTCAAAAGATCTACCCAAGATTATCCATAAAATTGCCTGGGGTCCTGGACTTGCAGTCCTTCCTGAGGGCAGCCCTCATGTGCAGGTCTCAGACATCCTGACTCCCTCCCCTGCCCCTCTTCCCAAGATGAGGGGCCTCTCCCTGGATCTGATGGTTCCCTTTTTCTTGAGGAAGTTTGCCAGGTGGCCTCACCCTAGCCCCTCTCTGAGTCACTGGGCAGTGGGGAGGACAGACAGTGGGAACTCTGTTGAGAGGACCTGGGGTGGGGGTGGGGTGACAGAATGGAAATTTTGCATCACTGTACTTGGCTCCAGGACTCACCTTGGGTGGGGGTGGGGGTGAGGTGGGGGCTGAGGAAGAGAGAGATGAAAGCAGAGGAGAGTTCTGGGAAGTGGGGAAAGAACAGGGGAGACAAGATCAGTTGAAGAATGTAGGAGAGTCAGACATACCTGGGTGGGGGGCTACACCCTCCCCATTTGCGGGGGTGCTGCCTGTGGGAGCTGTGTCTCCAGGTTCCCGGATGCCAGGCTCCCTGCCTCGGGTCTTGGCAGCCTCGATGCCTTTGACTCTTCGGGCGTGGCGATTACCCTTGTAGTGTGCCTCAGCCTGGCTCTGTAGGGATGGAGGAAGAAAATGGGAACTGAGATCACCTTTCATCTGACAATTCTGCCCACAGAGCTCTTTCAGGTCCTGGGGTGGTCTCAGCAGGATGCAGGGAATCTCTCCCTACACCAGTGAGATATAAAGCCCCATGCCAAGGAGACCTGCTTACTCCTGGGGCTCGGACTAGCTTCTCAAGTTTGAGCCCAGACTCCACCCACTACCACACCCAGAGCCAGGTTGCTGATTCAGGCTTCCCACCTAGTCCTGAGGTGAGAGGGGAGGACATCACACCTACAGAATCCTAAGTGGGAGGGGCCTAGCAATCAGGCCAGTTAGCATCCTCTTAGACCCCGGGCCTGTGTCCCCTGGTCCCAGGATCCAGCCTTTGCTGCTTCTACCCTCAGCCTGGGAACCCCAGAAGCTCTGGGGCCTGGGCTCTACACTGGCTGCTGTCCCCTGGGTCTCATTTTCCCTGTAGCCTCTGCAGACACCCTGGAGGACCCTGGCCCCAAGCCCAGCTCTGGAGACAGAAAAGCAGCAGAGACAGCTGTCAAAACAGAGCCTCTTGGTTGGGGAAGGATAGGGAGGGCAAACAGAAGGGAGGGCTGCCTGCCATTGGCCCCCACCCCTCTGGTCTTCCACCTTCCACCAATGAGTGGAGCCTGGGTTGAGAGAGGGGATGCCTGGAGTTGAGGTGAAGGGGAGGCCTAAAGCTGGGTTGGTCCTGGCTCCCCCACCCCCATGTGTACCCCCTGCTAAGAGCACACAATCCTGGAGCTACAAGGTCACCCAGACAGGAATAGAGTAGAAATAAAAGGCGTGGATAGGCAGAAAAAAAGACCGACAGCCTAGGGGTGGGGCAGTGGTGTTCAGAGCCTGGCAGCATGGTGTGTACATGTGTGGGCTGGGTAGACAAACAGAATATGCTTTATTTTTCCCATACTCAGCAGAATGAGGCTCTGCTGTTTTTCTCCAAAAGCTCTTGGAACCTGCACCTCACAAAGCCCCCTCTAAACCCACACAGAAGTCCCAAGGGAGCCTTAGAGGGAGGAAATCTGGGAGGCCAGACACCGGGGTTCTGAGTTCTTGGTGGCTTCTCCCCATGGGAAAGTCCCATGGGAGGGAGTGGGGGTCAGGCTTTGTGTGTGATTTGGAGGGAGGAGGGGGAGAAAGGAGGAAGCCAGGAGGTTAAAGGGAAGTGGATGGGCCAGGGAAAGAGTTCAGCAGAGGCCAAGGAGGGCACAGGCTCGGCAGGGGAGCCAATAACCTAACTCAGTTCTGCACCCAAGGACCAGTGGGCCAGAGGCCACATTCCCACCCGGACACCGATGGCCACCTGTGTTCCAAGAAGTTCTGAGCCAGAGATACAGTAGTCCTCAGGGAGGAGGGCTCCGCCTTAGCAGACTTCTCAAGTGCCTTCTGTCATTTCATGCCCTCCTACAGTAGCCCATTCCCTGCTCTGTCCCTGATAGTCCCTTAATCCCTGCCCCTTACCCAGAGTTCCCAGCCTATGTCCTCTCCCAAGATCCCCTGGCTGCTTCTGCTCCACCCATTGAGTGGGTGGGTGGCTGGGCTTCTTACCTGAGAATTGAAGCGGATCTGACAGACATTACAGGAAATGATGGGCCTCTTAGTCTTGAGCAAGGGTCCCCCAAAAGTGTGGGAAAGCACAGCCTTCTGTACAGGGTCCATCTGTGGAGGCAGGCTGGGGTGAGCCAGGAGCCCCAGCACAAGCTCATGTCCATCATCCCCCCAGTGGCAGGAGCTGGGTTGAACCAAAATTGCCAGGGCCTCTTCCTTATCCTTCAGTATCCTGGGGGCTCTGAGTCTCCATCCTCTGATTTCCTCCCAGCCCAATCTTCACAGCACTGGAAGGGACCTGAGGGATAGACTGGCCCAGGACTCCCATTTGACAAAAAGTGGGAGCAGTTTGCCTAAGGTCACACCATGAGTTAATAGGAGAGCTGGAACTTGAACCTGGACTCCTGTCTTGGTTCCTCATATGCTGAAGACCCACTCTGTCACCCTGACCTATCTCCTACAGCTCGGCTGATCCACCAGAGGCACACTGACAGGAAGTCTCAAAGCACCCCAGATCCTAGAGCCTTCAGTTAAGGCCTTTTTTTTTTTTTTTTACCTCCTCTCTGGGGCAAGACTGTCTACTAAGCTAAGCTTCTGGTCCCAGGAGACAGATGATCCCAGAGTCCATCTCTGGGTTCCAAGTTACCTTAACATACTCACTCCCTGGACGTCTTTAAGGCAACAGTTTCTAGAGGGAGTCAATACTCAGGAGAGAGTAGGGGGCTCTAGCAAATAATGGGGAATAAGTGGGGGAACCTAAGAAGCTGGGTTGGCCTGAACCTTCCCTGACCACAAGGCTTCTGGGGCAGGGCTGTGGGGCTGGGCGGGATTAGAAACAGGCTCTGCCCCCACCCTGGGTCAGCAGATGTCTTTGCAGTCTCCTGCCAAGAGTTCACATGAGGAGGGGAGTTTCTCTCTGAGGCTTTCTGCTATCAGGGGATAAAGCCAGGGGCCTGGAGGCAAAAAAAAAAAACAACACAACTGCCTCTCTGCACAGTCCTCCTCCCTTCTGGCCCCTGGCAGCCAGAGAAAGGGGAGACTGGAATGCAGCTGAGGCTGAGGAGGGCTGGGTGATCCTCTGGACTTCTCATAAAAATGGAACCAAATTAGAGCTGAAACCTTATCTTCCAGGTGGAAGGATCAAGTGAAAAACAGTTGCTGGGGACTTGGAAGGTCCTTAGCTCCTCAGCTGAGCCCCTCTCTGGGCCTAGGACTTCATGGTTCCAAGTAAGACACCAGAGGCAGGAATGTGAAGCAGAGGGAGGACGGTGGTTCAAGTCTGGAAAGCCCACACATCCTCTGTCTTCCCTCTGCTCTCCCAGTAGTCTCCCCGGCTGGGTGGGCAATGTCAGGAAAGGGGCTCGAGCATCCCTGTGAAATGTGCTGCCCAGTTGGTAGTGGTAGAGGCAGGACCATGACCAGGTTCAGGTCACTGGTCTTACTGACAAGTGTCAATCTCTTGGCCTGCCTGCCATTGGCTGGAAGCAGCCTTTTAGTGGCTCACTTTCACCTCCTGAAAGCCCAGGAATAGCCAAATGGGAAGAATGGGTGTGTCTGTGTGTGTGTGTCTAGGCAGGCTGTGATCAATCTGTGCATGGGTGGAGTGTGAAGGAGTATCATGTGCTGTGTGTATATCATTTATGTATCAACATTTCTGTGTCGGGGGTTCTGCTGACGCCATGAGTGGCCAGGTTGTGTAATCTTCAGCTGGGTGTTTATCTGTGTGAATGTATGATGTGTTTGGCAGAAAGAAAGACAGACCAAACTGGAGACGGACTTTAATCAGAAAAAGGAGACAGATGACTGCTCTCAGCTCCCAGTCTCCAGTCTTCGGTCCTTCCTATCCAGAGACACCCCCTCCCCAACTCTGCCCCAGGGTTCTCAGTCCCTGGGCTTCCTCACATGCTGGGTGGGGAATGGAAGTCAGCCCAAACAGAAACCCAATCTGGGCTAGGAAACTTAAGTAGATTAAAATAATAGGGAGAGAGGAGCAGGATGGAGAGGGGAGAGGGGAGGCCCCTGATTCTGTCTACGCCCCACCCCGTCACCCCAGCCTGCTCCCCTGAGTGGCTGAGGACCCAGCGCCCTGAGGATGACTTGCGGGCTGATGACCCCAGCATCCACCCCCTGAGACTGGTCCCTGCCTTCCTTGAGTCCTTCTTCCAGGGTCAGAGCCTTTTCTCTTGCACAACCCACTCCTCAGGTATAAGTCCATAAATACCCACTGGGGGTGGGCACGGGCAGGGAAGAGGGCATCAACCCAGTCAGGTGTGTCCTTCCCACCCGCTCCTCCAAGAACTGAGGAGACACCAGGCTGAAGATGAGGGCTGCTGGGCCCAATCCCTGTGCAGGTGGAATGTGAGCCACTGAAGTGCTGCTTCAGGCCAAGGTCAAGAGGCCTGGTGACCTAGATGAGGGCTCTCTGGGGAGGGGAGGAGGCCAACGTCTCCCAGAGCCCATTCCACTCCAGAGCCCCTTCCCTGGGATTTTGGCCTAGGAACTGCCTAGGAAAGTCCACAAAATGGTCCCTTCCCACCTGCCCTCCACCAACAGACATGAAGGGGAATTGCTCCCTGAAGCTGGGGCACAATGAATTGGGAAGGGCAAGGGGGAGGGGAGGGGGAAACCAGATCAGGAACACGAGGGGGCGGGGGCTATGATTATATTTCCTTCCATTGCCCTTTATCTGCTGGTAACTGCTGCCCCTTGTCTGACCACCCTACTTCCCCATCCCCCCAAATAAAGGTGAAAAGGGAAGGGGGTGGAATCTTAGCGATGGGAAGACCTGAGGGACAGGACAGATAGAAATAGGAAGGAGAAGGAGCTAGGGGGTATCTGAAGAGCAGGTGGAAGCGGGTGGGGGAGGGATGCTGGGAAGGAGAGACTGGGATGATGGGGTCAGGCTGGGTGAGGGATCTGAGCGGCATGGTCATTTTAGGGTGGGTGTAGGACCTGCTGGGATGTTTGAAGATCTGGGGGACTCCGAGGACCTGAAAAGCTGAGTCTGGGGTACCCAGTATGGTGGCAGCAGTCTGCGGGCACTAGCTGGGACCCAGAGATTGGTTGGGGCCGCGCCGCCGGTTGTGGGG